AATTACTTTCACAATTATGAAGAGAGGGGGAAAAGCTTTGAAAATAAGCTATTTTCAAAGGTTTGATTGTATTTTTTTCGTGCAATGTCATGTGTTTATGCTGTGTTATAAAAAAATAAATCGCATTATTTTTCACATGATTCTTCACCACTGTTTTCCATTTATCAAAAAAAGTCTGTTGACTTTCTGCTTCTATTTAGCTCATCTGAAACACGCAATGGGCTCTGATTGGTCAGCTGGCCCAGTGTGTTCTGATTCACTGACTGTGAAAAACATCATGCTTGTTTATGTAACTTTTAGGTTTGTGATGTTACAAGTTTGTTGCTGTCCCAACCAGCTGTTTGTTTTATAGGCTTTAAAAAACATTGTGCAATGCAGTGGTCGGTGTAGCAACATATGTCGCAACTGTCGTGACTCACAGACCTTTCCCGATCCAATAGGGTACAGTATATGTGTTTCTTTCCATATCGATAAACTTCTAGTGAACAGTTAATGTGACTTTTTCAATTTTACATGGTTCTTTTTACCGCGTTGATGTTGTAATGTAATTACAATAGAATCAGTTAAATAGACTTCAGAATTAATTCATTTGTTTAAGTGTAAAATGAGTTAAAGACTGTTTATATGCACCTGCCTGTCAGGATTAGCAGGCTAGCACTGAAACTCTATTTTGAAAACATAGCATAGAAAATGTAATTTAATGCAGTATTTGTTGTACATTCTGAGATCCACTTTATATCGTATTTATATCAAGCAGTGAAGATTGTTGATAAAAAAAAAACAAAAAAAAACAGACCTTAAACGTGCTGATTTTGTAATGGTATACAGACAGTTCACTGGAAGCGTTTGACCCAGGTTACTGAAAAATGTATATATATACATACACACACACACACACACACACACACGTGTGTATATATATATATATAATATATATATATATATATATATATATATATATATATATATATATATATATATATATATATATATATTATATATATATATATACACTGTCTTATTATAATAATAAGATAAAGATCTTTAAAATAATTAAATTTATTAATTCTATAAAATAAAACTATTACTTTCTAATTTAACTTTGAGTGCCACAACTTTGCACATGTTGTTTATGCTGAAACATCTTGAACAGTTCAACTGTTTAAAGGGCACCTATTTTACCCCCCTTTTTCAAGATTTAATATATGTTTTTTGTGTCTGCAGAATGTGTCTGTTAAGTTTCAGCTCAAAACCCTCATCAGATTATTTATTATACCTTTCAGAATATAGGAAATATTGGAAACTGTTTTTGTGGCCTGTGCCTTTAATGCTAGTTCTCCCCACCACCAACCTCCGCCTCGCCTGTGTCAGATAAACAGCACAGAGACAGACATGAAGGAAGCAGATCTCACATAATGTTTGTGAGAAATACTACAGTAAGAACTTCCCAATGATTATTTATTTATTGTCTTTGTTGCGGAGTTAATTCAAATCTTTGTTACAAATTTCACGCTCACACACAAACATGCCCACATGCAGCGGACACACACAGAGCTAAAGTTTAAATTTGCACTGCTTTTGCATGGCAAATGTGGCAGGCTACAGGTTAATATCCACTGCTGTATGGATATCCGTTATGTAAATGTACAAAATAAACCTGATTTAACGTCCACAAACCGGGATTGAAGCATCTTCTTTCATTATTGTACTGACATGCGGTTGTGGTGATAATGACAGTAAAATCGCTGTGATTAATTACAAACATGCAACGTTTTAAAAACATTTTAGACTTAAAAAACTGATTCTTGATCACATTGGATGATGGTTGATGATCACAGGGAGCTGAACAGATCTTTTTATCCCAGTGCTTTGTTCATGTCCGGTCTTGTTGATATGATTATACGTGTCACTACGGAGACATGTTAATAGCCTACAGAGCTGTCATTTGGGGAAACTACACTCCTGTCATGTTGCAGTGGGCCTCAAAATAAGAGAGATTTGGATCCTATTTTAAAAATGAGACTTAAGGCCCGTGCACACCGAGACGTTTTTTTGCTCACGTTTTCAGTCGACGTTTAACGTCTCTTGAATAAATAAAGGGCATCAACGTGATCGTGCACACCAAAGCGCAAAACGGCAGCCGTAAAAGCAAAATAAAAAAAAGCCTCATGCACATTTTTTTGTTTTGACGCACCACGTCAAAACCCTCTCCACCAATCAGATTGGCACTTTTGTTCACATGCACGGAGCTGCTGAAGTTACAGTAAACAGCACTTGGAGGCGCTCATGAGCAAAACTGCCAATGCAAGCGCACATTGAAGAAGATGCCCAGGGCAAAGAGCTTAGAAGGACCAAGAGGCAACACTCAATAGAACGTTCCATTGCAACAGCAGCGCCCAGCAACAGCCCCGGATTATGCCATTTTGGAGTGAAAATGATCGGTCGTCCATAGACTGATTTCACGCGGCCGCCATTTTCAAAAGCGAAATCGAGGCTGCAGTGGGAAGAAACTCAAAAGTATCATAGGAACATAGTAATGTTGTGTACCTGGCTGTTTATCTTATCAGCGAAGATAAAGTGATACAAATTTATCCTTTCTCCGCCTTCCGGGTGACCCGAAGGTCCGTTCTGAATGAATAGTGAATGTAAAAAAGGGATGTCAGAGCTCATTTTCAGCAAAGTTAAGGGAAATGGCACTAGTTAGCAAACATTTTCTTTCCCAAACACACGTTTTAGATGCCATTTATCAAACTAGAGTTAATCAACTGATTCTTTTACTATATTAGACTTGTCACGATACTGAATTAAAAGAAAAACTGGCAATTTCGCGCTAACATTTAAGGCAATGTTGATGGCTTTCTTAAAACAGCGCTGATTTGCCATTGTGTTCACTTGTTCAACAGAAATGATTGTGATTGACCAAGAAGGTCATAAGTTCACCCACCGCTGTATACTGAGCACAAACACAGACGAGCCGAGCGATCTGCTTGATGACTCGACTGATCTTGACGGCTGCTTCGCGCTCCAGTCCGTGTATCTGTGTTTGCACTGGGTGAAGAGTAGTAAACTGAGCGCAAACCAAACACAGATACACGGAGACTAAAGCGCGAAGCCGTGAGGATCAGTTGAGTCATCCGCGCTCAGTGCACCCCACCGCAGCCTCGCTTTGGTTCTTTAAAATGGCGGCCGCGTGAAATAAGCGTATAGGATCTCTTTACTGTCGCGATGGCAAGCAGCTGCTTTGTTTTTTTTTCAATTTATTTATTTAAAAAGCGCATTAAAGCCAAGATACAACCTGAAAGACGACAATACAACATTTGTTATCATAATCATCAGCACTATTAATAGTTTATTTTACCGACTTATAATATGCTGTTGTAGGGCGAGGCAGTGGCGCAGTAGGTAGTGCTGATGCCTCACAGCAAGAAGGTCACTGGGTCGCTGGTTAAAACCTCTGCTCAGTTGGCATTTCTGTGTGGAGTTTGCATGTTCTCCCTGCCTTCGCGTATGTTTCCTCCGGGTGCTCTGGTTTCCCCCACAGTCCAAAGACATGCGGTACAGGTGAATTGGGTAGGCTAAATTGTACGTAGTGTATGAGTGTGTGTGTGAATGTGTGTGTGGATGTTTCCCAGAGATGGGTTGCGGTTGGAAGGGCATCCGCTGCGTAAAAACTTGCTGGATAAGTTGGCGGTTCATTCCGCTGTGGCGACCCCAGATTAATAAAGGGACTAAGACGACAAGAAAATGAATGAATGAATATGGTGTTGTTATATTGGAGTTTTCATACCATAATGGCCGCCGCGCCCTCTAGTGGCTGTTTCAATTTCTGTTTCACAAATTACACTAGAGTGTCGCCTCTTGGTCATTCTAAGCTCTTTGCCCAGGGCGATATGAACGCGTAGCTGCTTATTGCTTTGAAAAACAATAATCCTTTCTTCATCGCTAGAGCTGGAGCTGCTGCTTGAACCATCCATAACAACAATCATGTCAACTTTCTGTCTTCTTCTGTGTTACAAGCGGGTGTCAGAAGCTTAAAGTTGTGTAGCGCCATCTAACGGCAAAGAGTGATTTTGCATGCTCTTCTGCTCGACGCCAGTAATAATCGCTTGGGTTTGAACCCGGAAAAACGTCTTGAAAAACGCTGAGGATAAATGCAAACAAAAGTGTCCCGGTGTGTACGAACCTTTAATGTCTTTATATCACCACTATGACTGTGGACACACTACATACAGTTCTGTCCAAACAGCTTACAAAAGATAATTTTCACTTTAATACTAAATTTTAAAAAGTGAAAACATAATCATGGACACCTTTAATTAGATGGCTGCCCACTTCAAAGTCCACTTACATATAAATAGAACACCAGAGCCAGAGTTTCTGAGTCAAAAACTTCTCAGTACAACTTAGACACACCATAATTAAGCTAATTACTTGAAAAAGCTAGTCAAATTATGTCAACAAAGCTATAGCACATGAGAGGGCGACCTGCTGCTGCATAAATCTGCTTTTTATCCACTGATAAACATGTAGCTAGCTTACACCTTCTGTTAATGTACATGTTTTTCCCAAAGCAGCGATGGTTCCTTTAAATCGAATCCCTGACTGGTAAAACAAATGAGCAATATGTAGAAAATGACTGATTACACCTTTGACTGACCTACTGTCTGTGACTAACCGGCATTAGGACCGAGCGACGGTTGATCAGAAACACACTGAAACAGTAGCAGAAAGAGAGAGAGAGAGAGAGAGAGAGAGAGAGAGAGAGAGAGAGAGAGAGAGAGAGAGAGAGAGAGAGAGAGAGAGACGCTGCAGCATCAGCATCATAATGAATCACAGCAGCTCTGAGGCGCGAGAAGCTGGAGCCACGAGACCAAACTGGAGTTAAGGAAAGACGCTTAATCTGCTAATATAAATCTTTTTTTTTCCCGCGCCAGGAGTAAAAGTGGACAGAGAGATTAGGCTAACAAACACTTTATCTCCGGGATCCTTTTTAAGGAGCCATGGATTATATTACTCGACAAACTTTTGTAAAACTTGCCCTTTTCATCTTCACAGGTGAGTGTTTTGCAAATTTATTCTGGCCTGCTGTTTTCTTTCGACGTTAAATACTGAAACGCTGATATAAATGCATTCAGACTTTGATGGCTTTAAATTAATTCCAGTCGGTCTCGTGGGAAACATGAAACCGCTAATTTCACTTTGATTGGAGTCAATTGGCAAACACATGTAGGCTTAAGTGGATTTCACATTTCCACATAATGATTTTTAAACAGTGCCTGAACTGGTCTTTTACATGGCCCAGATTTCAACAGTACTTTGAAATGAAGTTAATTTATTCTGAGGCATAAAACCCTTTGACATCTCAGAATATGCTGGCCAAATTTGTGGTGTCATACTAATTAAATAAAGTACCCTAAGAGTTCAGACTCTGGGAAGAACTAATAGTTCTCAGATATGAGCAATTGAGGAGGTTCATCTGTTCTGCGGTTTAGGACAAAACTGTTGTTTTCATCTCAGCCCTCTTGAAAATATTCTTTTTTAAAATGAGTCAGTATTCAGGGAAAATATTTACTATTGTAAAACAAAAAATCCTTATTTAGATTTTTATCTTATTCAGTTGCTGCACTATATTGCTTAACAAGTAGACATTTTTTGTTTAACTTTTTTTGCATAACAAGTAGAAAAAGATATTTTAAAGCTTTTAAAAGGATATTTTTTTCCACAAAAAAAATGGTTCTTCAAAGAACATTTTAGTGAACATTTCTTAATATGCAAATATTTTTACAGTATTCCTACTTTAGTTTAAGTAATAATTCTTACTATTACTGGTGACTTATAGCTATTTCTGCAGAAAATTTTGTTGAGTATCATACCTAAAAACTTAATATGTGACATAATAAAAATACCTTTTTAACTTTTATTTTAATCCAATTATATTAACTTTTTGGGTTAAAAAAGCAAGTCTATCATATAATATATCTACTAAAAGAAAGAACATACTTTGTAGATTGTTTTGTAAATAAATCATAAGAAAATTTTCATATTAGGCTATAATATTACTGAAATTAATATAAAAACTAAATAAATATCAATTTTCACAAGTAAATAAATGGACTCAATGATGGGGTAAAATTCTTCCAAACATGCAGATTCAGTGTGGGCCAACATATTACCTGTTTATTATGGCTGTTTATTAGTAATAAAGTACAAATTCTGCATGATCTTATTTTAAATCTATGTTCAATACCTAAACCAAACTACTACCTTAATAACTACTAATAAGCAGCAAATTAGGGCTTTATTGAGGCAAATGTCATAGTTGATGGTTTATTATTTGTGAGAATTGTATCTTAAAATTAAAATAAGGTGCAACCAAATTTATTCATGGAATTATTTTAACACAACCTGGTAACAGTAAAAGTGTTATGAAACAATCCATAAAACAGCCAAGAATATAAAAGATTAAAAAAAGGCCCACAAAAATGTATTCTGGACCATAAAAAAGTAATTTCTGACCAATAAACCAATTGAAAACAGCATGTCATAGTTGATTGGGATGATATAGTGGCATAAATGGCATATGCATAAAATATAAGAAATAATCTATAAGCATAGATAAAAGCAATAAAGAAAAAAAGATACACATTAAATAAACAGCGTTTCATTGTTTTCGAGGAGTTGAATTGTATTCAGGAATATAGTAATTGAATAATAAATGTAAAATAATACTGCATAGTCTATAAACAATTAAATAAAATTAATAATTTTTTATTTCGTCAAAGTTACAAACGGTACATTTTCTTATGTCTGATTGCTTTTAAAACTTTCAAACAGTCACAGGCCTCAAAAAGCACAGATATTCTCATGTACTCGCGATGTGATTTTTGCGAATGATCACATTGCGATACCGATGCTGAAATGATATATTGTTTAGCCCTATATACTCGAAACATTTTTGATATTACATTGTTAGTTTGGATGACAGACTTCTTAAAACAGATTTTATTTAAAAATTATACGTTTAATTTATGCTGTCTGTGTCTCTGAAATGTGATATTTAATCTAATCCTGTTGATTAGTAGCTCATCTGTCCTGCTCATAAAGAAAGACCTCATCAGCATCACAGATTATCAGCTTATGTTTGTTGTCCATTAGTCAGGAGTTCGGCAAGAGTATTTATGATTTATGTAATGAGACCGTTGCTGTTATAAGGTCAATTTTTATGTAATAGCCTTCACGTCTAATTAGCAATCTGGGAAGAGTGGTCCACACAAGCAGTTTCACTTCACGTTGAACAGTACGTCACTTCTCTGCAGTGTTCAGCACTCTAGCCATTTAGTATTCAAGACTGTACATACGTTAACTGTCTAACGTATTTATGTATTTATTTGTGTGTTTATTGATTTTTTTGGCACACACAGACTCGGCTGTGTGTAATTCTGCTGTTCTTTGTTGAGCTGAGCTTTTAGTAAGATTAAACACAGAGATGTCAGATTGACAAAAGCCAAAGGCCATTTTTAAGCAACTTGAGACACATACAGTACAAGAAGTATGTAGGTGAATACTGTCTCTAGATAATATTTCTCCAGCGTTGTTCATTTTTCTATACTGTTTCTTTCTAAGCCAAAGAAAATTACCTCGCTGATTCACACAGAAATGACCTAACAACCCCTGTGTGTAATATTACTAAAACGTTATGCTTTTGAACATCGAAAACCGAGAGCTGCGCTCGGATATCATATATTATGCGTCTGTCCTGTCAGCTTACAGTCAGCTTTGAGGATATTTACCCATCCAGGGATTGTCAATGTCAGAGCTTTAGAAAAGTAAGAATTACGAGACAGATTCTAATTTCTAGTTCAGATGCTTTGTCGTTTATTTAGCATTTGTCGTATTGGCAGATTTTCTAACCACAGCAGGAGCATTATTGAGATAGAAAAGAAACAGTCAGAAGAATGAGAAATAACATAAACTGTAAAAAATGCTGGGTTTCGCATAACCGATCTGTGTTGGGACAACATGAAGAAATTAACCTATTATTTTGAACATATTTAAATGGATTGGACTTGAAACAATTAAGTTGTCCCATAAAAACTCCTAGCTGACTTTATATAAGGAGTTTTAACAAGCAAAAAGCTGCTTTAACCCATTTTGCAGGGGATTTTTAGACGTTTTACAGCTGGTTTCAGACAAAAGATTTGATAATGCAGCAACATATCTAGTAAATCCATGTCTTTTTGAACATTTCTCATTTAAAACATCATCAAAACTCTTAACATTAAATGATAAAAGTTTGGATGAGTGAGCAAGTGACAAATATCGACATCAGTTATGGACTAATTGCTGCTCACTAAATTCAGTGTTACGGAATTAAAAACCAAAATAAAATAAAATCCTGCAGTGTAAAATGCGAATAGTTGACTTATTAAAATTGAGTAATCCTACTCTGTTAAATGTGATTAGTTGACTTTACTTATAAAAACTTTGTAATCTTACACTGTTAAATGCGAGAAGTTGACTTTACTTTTAAAGTGTAAGTAAATCAGTTGGTTTGAAAATGATTCGTTGACTTAAAAGAACTGAGTAATCCTACACCGTTATTGCGATTAACTGACTTGAGTTTTAAAACATAAGTAAATCCATTGCTACGAAAATGATTTGTTTACTTATAAAAACGTTGCAATCCTACACTGTTAAATGTCATTAGTTGACTTGACGTTTAAAACATGAGTAAACTCATTGCTTTAAAAACATTAGTTGACTTTACTTAAAAGCACTGAGTAATCCTACACTGTTAAATGTGATGAGTTGACCTGACTTTTATAAAGTGAGTAAATCTGTTGCTTTGAAAACAATTAGTTGACTTGAAAAACATAGTAATCCTACACTGTAAAATTTGATTAGTTGACTTAACTTTATAAAGTGAGTAAATCCATTGCCTTAAAACATTAGTTGACTTTGCTTATAAAAATGGAGTAATCCTACACTGTTGAATGCGACTAGTTGCCTTTATAAACATGAGTAAGTCCATTGCTTTGAAAATGATTAGTTGACTGTACTATAAAAACAGAGTAATCCTACACTGTTAAATGTAATGAGTTGATTTTTATAAAGTGAGTAAATCCATCGCTTTGAAACTGATTAGTTGACTTTACTTTTAAAACACGATTAAACCTGTTCCCTTGAAATTATAAAGTAACTACTGTATGTGCTTAATAATAAAATTGATTAAAAAAACTTCTGTAAAACAAACAAAAATGTTGGATGTTTATATTTATTTTCCACTCATCCAAGTCATGCATTTAAACTATTACATAAACACAGAGAGGAAGACTGGTAAAAACCAAAGCTATAGCCTGAATCTAGCCAATCCCACGACGGCCTCACAGTTCCCAGATCAAGCAAAATATGAAATATGCATTATGTAGTCAGTGAAGAGATTGTGATCATTCTGCAGACATGCAGATTTCAAGCTGAGATTGCTTGTTTTATGAATTTTGAATGTAAAATTGACTGTAAGTAAAATCCAAATGTAACCTTTTGGCTATAAGTAAATTCATCAATTTTACATGACTTTCAAAGCTAACCTGAATCCAGCCAATCACATTAAAGCAGATCAAGCTATATGAAATATGCACTTTACAGCTTGCCAAATCAAGCAATATGAAATATGCATTAGAAAGTCATTAAAATGGCGATCTAAAGACCTGCCATCTGAAGCTTATTGAACTCGATTTCCAACAATTCAGATTATATGTTGACCGACATGGTAAGATCTGACCTTAGGTTTACTACATTTGTATTCTTGCCTGTGCTTTAATTGAGCAAGGTATATGATACATAATAAAGTGTTTTTATAATGTCAAACTACAGCTCACTATTTTTAGGAGATCATTTGAACTCTATAGTGACGTGAATCCGACAGGTGGCTGCCTATTTACTGGTAACAGGTAATTGCTAAAGTTAAATCATAAATCACACCCTTTGGGCGATGAAGACCAGAAATAGCAGGATAAATCTGTCCCTTGTTGTACAGAGAAGCCAAAGGAAGAACC